AAGTTGTTATTGTCTAAGAGCCACTAGATGTATTCAAGTTCACGTTGAGTTTTTCTCTGTATCGTCGAAGTCCAAAGTATTAAGGACATTAACATCGAGTTCTGGATCCGCATATTCCAATATATTAAAATCATCACCAATTTCTGAAGTTAGGGATTTAAGCAAGTCGTCATCATCGCCCTCACCGAATCCGCCTAAAATATCTCCAAATCCAACATTTTCTAATTCTACTGCCGAAGACGAAATGCCTTCCTGTGATTCCGTTATTTTCATATCAAGTTGAGCTTTCCCATCGTGCTCTAATCCTCTAATGTCACTATGTTGAGGATTGCCACTCATGCTTAACATTGGATTATTCTGTGTTAAAGCGGAATTTTGCATCATGCCAAGTCTCAAAACATCATTTTGCATAAAGTATTCAGAGGTGGAATTCATTAGGACCGTATCGGAATTATTTTTTTGTAAAAGATTTCTGAGCTTTTTGTCTCCAACTGGTTCCGATTCAAATGTTGTCGTATGCTCCATTCGATTGTCAACAGACGACATTTTTGATAACGATGGTGAAGCTGCATGCATAGTTGTCCTTTGAATTGTAGATTTAACTACCAGATTCTCATTAGAGATTACCATTTGTTGTTGGGAATTGACGGCCTGCATAGAAGATCCAATATAGCATGGTGCTTCGTAGGAAACTCCACCTAATAACAAAAGAATATATGTTTATATACTAAATATTGTTTTGAGCTCCTGTATATTAATAAATAATATTGAGATTCATATTTTTTTGAAGAACTTACTTATTATAAAAATTAGTAATATGAATATATATTTACAATTGCTATTACCAAACATATTTGATTGATCTTCCTTTGGCTTACAGGACTGATTTTTCCAAGCGCGCCCATCATCCTGCTTTTCCAGCTTAGGAGGCTGGGTTACTTTGCACTGTTCGCGTCTCTGTCGCAATGCAGACCGATTGTCTTTCGCTTTTTGTAAGAACGGCGCTTTTTTCTCATTGCATAGAGATCGCCACCTCTTTAGAATCTGCTTGCAGCGATCTGTCCAATTTGGATAAGACTCTTTCAAATTTGCATGCTCTGTATTAGCGTACAATACTGCCGAAATCGTTGCCATAAGTCCTAGATCTATAAGAAGTAATGTTTTGTATTTATTAATTTTTATAATCTCCTTTTATATTTACCTTCATCTTTTCGCATTTTTTCAGCCGTCTTCTGTGTGCCAACATTTATGCTCTCACTGGGCTCGCTAGGTTTAACTTCTTCAACCCTTTTATCAGTTTGTAGAGGAAGTTGCGTTGTCATAGTTTGCGCTTTCGCCTGATATTGAAGCTGCGGCGGCTTATTAGATATATTTTGTGGCAACACCAGTTTGTTTTGGAACTTTTGGTCTTGACCCAATTGTGGAGTCACCGCATAATTCTCCACTAGAAGTGGTGGCTCACTAA